ATGCCACTGCACTCCAGCCTGGGCAACAGAGCGAGACTCCGTCTCAAAATAAATAAATACATACATACATACATACTTAGGCTGTGACCATCAATAGATAAATCTGTTAGTTCAAATTCTGACAGGGGACCTGATGATGGAAGAATCTGGCTGCCCCACCCTCAACCCACTGAACAATGTTACAACAGAGTGGGAAGAGCATGCTTTGCATTTATTGTGATGGAACATGAAGTACAGAGTACTACTTATGAAGAATTCTTGTCAAAAACTTGAAGCTGAATTGGATCAAGCTTTAGAGCTAACTTCTACTTCACTTACAGGCACTAGGAGGTAAAGAAGTAAAATGCTACCACAGATGACAAAGCTAGAAGGGGGCATCCTACAGGACAGCCAGTCTGGTTTCTGTAAAAAGTCAATGTCATGGGGAATATGAGGAGGCAGTGACAAGAAGACTGCTCTGAAGTAAAAGGAAAAAGTATCAAGTGACTAACATTAGTTTTATTTACTGTGATAATGGCTCTATGCATCTGTATTTGTGGAAGATGCATCAAGATCACAAGGTGTCTTGGACTCAGGCCAGGAACAAGGGCTCTACCACCTTGGAATCATTCTTTGAGAAATTTCTTTCAAGCAATAAGCAGTTTCTCAAACTCTTGCTGCACAGCCCTGAAGAGGCTCGCTGAGAGTGATTCCCCATTTAACAGATATTTCAGAGAAAGCTGAACAGAAATTAAGCCACCTACCTGCCTCTGCACCCCCAACCCTATACCAGGTGGCATGCTGATTTTCCCAAGGCAGGGAAGGTGCCCGCGGAGGGGGGAACTGACCAGTTCAGCATACTTCTTGCACAGAGCGGCCAGCTTCTCCTCTGGGGTACTCAGAGTATTCAATGTCTGCATCAGCAACGTGATCTCCTTCCCTGCAAAGCACAGGAGCAAAGACATGTACTCCCTTCTCCAGGGGTCCCCTCCAGGCCTGGGCTCACACTCATCATGAGTGCTGAAGATAGCCCTCCCCATCACACTTTATATTTTGCTTGTTAATTAGCTCCTTCCTTACTATAGGGACCAACTCAATCCTGCCCTCACTGTAGCCCCAGTATTGTCCATAGTACCATCACAGAGAATATGTTCAACAAATGCTTATCAAATGAATGACTGTACCCTACTGCAATCTCTTTAGTGGACACCACTGGCAGGGTAAAAAACTGCCTGCTCTACCAACAGACGAAAGATTTCCCACTAATGAATTCAGGGCTACTGTTTCATACAGTTTCAATGCAAGGAAGGCCCACCCTCCTGATAGAGGTAGGATCCAAAAAGGAATAGATGTCTTAGCCTCCTTGAGAAATACTAAACTCTTGTCAACAGAGTAGCCAAACAGTGAACTTTAAAATGAAGATACTTTCAGCCAGGTGCGGTGGCTCACGCCTGTAATCCCAGCATTTTGGGAGGCCGAGGTGGATCATGAGGTCAAGAGATCGAGACCATGCTAACATGATGAAACCCCGTCTCTACTAAAAATACACACAAAAAAATTAGCAAGGCATGGTAGGGGGGTGCCTGTAGTCCCAGTTACTCAGGAAACTGAGGTAGGAGAATCACTTGAACCTGGAAG